GCAGGTCCTCTGAAGCGCCACGGCCGCGGCGCCCTCCGCCCGAGCATAGCCCTTGGCGTCCTGGTGGAAGGAAAGGCAACGCTCAGAGATCATTTTGGCCTTGGCCAAGGCCACAGTGATCTTGGGACTCAGGATGGCATTCACTCCTCGGATCCGAAACGCCCAAAACCAATTGGCCTTTCCACTTGTCCTCTTCCTTTCCTGTCTTTCTTTGACCTGACGACCTGTCAAGTAATTACTCCAACTCTGGAATCGCGTCTAGGTCGAGCTGCCTAGTGCCACAGCGCCCTCCGCACAACCCTCACAGACCGGGCTCTTGAACAGGGATGTGGCAGCCAACGCCACGGCTGTCAATCCTGAAGCGCAGGCAGTGTCCACGTTGCGGCACTCGCCCCGGAAGTCCAAGGCGTACGCGACACTTCCACTGATCATGGAAGAGGCGTTTCCGGCCGCAGTGAAGGCGCTGCAGCTTTCCGGTGTCCACCTGACCAACACACAGATTGAGTTTGAGTTGCCTCCAACGCATAAAGCCCAAACTCAAAAGCACAGCATCAATCCGAGCCGCAGGAGGTTGGAATCCAGGTTCATGGAGCCGCAAGTTACCGAAATGTCAGCACGCCCCAAAAACCCAGCGGTGTCCGAGGCCTGAAAGGCCATCTCGATTGCCAGAAGCTGCTGTGGGTCCGTGACCTTTTCCGCGGCAGCGGGCTTATTGAAGGCCCGAAAGCGCGCCGAGCCAGGCAGATCGATGAAGCCGCCCAAGTGCGGCAGCTCAAAAGCCCCGAAGTCCGAGTCGAAGCCAGGCCGTGAAGGCGGTGTGAGAAAGTCCCCGTTCAGCTGCAAGCCCTGCAACCCGGGCGACAACATGTTGCAACAAACACGTTCTGAATCTGCGGGTTGGTTGTTTATTTCCCAGTGATTTGCCTGCCTGCACCAACTTGCATACGTCGTCGAGGTTGCCCGGCAGGCGGCAGCTCATGCCGACGATGGCCACGCGCTGCTGCTCTGGTGGCTGTGCCATGTCCTCTCCTATTCCAATGGACGATAGAAAACTGAGATCCAAAAATGGCTCCGTGACTCAGCTGCCGGTTGCTTCTGCGAGTGGAAACTACAAATGGCAAGGACTGGCGCCAACCGCCTGCCAACCTGCCCCGCAGTGAGGCGATCTCCATGAAAGGAAGCAGTGTGACATTCCCGCGCCATGTGGCTCTCCGCTCACAGCTTAATGTTACCTGAACGTGTCAACCCGCTGGGGCCCAGACACATGCTGGTGCGTCGCCGCTATGATGGCCGGGGCGAAGGGCGGGTTAACCTCGAAAGCTCCACGGCCTGCAGTCTCAAGTCTCCAAGCCAATAAAAAAGGGCAAAATAAAGTCCGCATCGAGATTGGAACTTGTTAATTGCAGACCCTCTGGTCATGGGATCCATGTCCGCCATCCATGTAAAGGGTGTTCCTGAGAAAAACAAATAGCCATCTGTCCATGCGGAACATGTCTCTCGTTCAACATGACTCCTTACCAATATGCTCGGCACCCAGCGGGGCTTGAAACTGAAGAAACTGCCCATCGACCCAAAGCAGCCATCACCTCGGCAACAGGCAGGAAGAGTAACCTCGACTTTTTTGCTTGCCTTTGATGGCGTGTTTGGCTGCACATGTTGCAATCTGCTTGTTCTGTCGTGTGCGAAACTATCATGCTGCATTCTGCCCCATCCTTTCCTCCATTGCCAAAGACTGCCGAACCGTGCAATCCTAGAAAATTTTGCCAAGCCAGCCGCTCAGCCCTGGCTTTTGCCAAGGAGCCGCGGAAAATCAATTGGCTGGCCAAAGGCAAGACTCCATGTTGTCGCAAGCGCATCGAAATTCAAAACTCGACTTACCTACCTACTTACCTGGTTTCGGACAGCACTGACCACCTGGTAGATCGGGATGATGGCCACGAGACCTGTCACAAGCTGCATGCAAGGTCTTCCGAGGCGCAGTGCAAGACCAGTCATCTTTTTTTGTTTGCCTGTTCCTGACATCCTGGCAGCGGCAAAGAGCCGTGAACTGAAACACAACCAAGCCAGGAAGTTGTTCATCCGCACACAGCTCATGCGCTTCCGAGTACAAGTTGCCGCGCAATTGCATGCTCCCTCTTCATCACGCAGCCAGCAAACCATGCATGCCCAAAGAGACAAGGCGCTTGCCAGGTTGATACCATAGCTCTCAGCAATCTCCCAAGGTTTTGGAATCGGAGGAATCGCCCCAGTGATGGAGCCCACCAAGGATCTCAGCAAGTCACACTTCTCTGTCAGCAACTTGGCCTTGCCACCCTCCCATATGAGTTGTTGTATCAAAAATAGGTACCCCAAATGGAACCCTAAAAAGTGGAAACATGGACCAAAGCCTGCGGTCCCCTGGTGGTTTAATTTTGACCCATACCCGTATCTGCGTTTGACAACAGATCCCCGGATCTCCACCCCTGAATGGCCGCCCTGTCATGTTCCGAAGCTGCAACGTGTTACACTCGTTTGTGCTGCACGAGACAAACAACTCAGCGCTGCACTGTCCTCCCCCGACTCCGTAGATAAGCGGCCTCCGGGCGAACCACGCCCGCAAGCCCAGGGCTTGTCTCCCTTCGTTTGATCAATTCCCATATATCAATTAAAAAAAAAAGGAAATCAAATTCTGCTCGGGGACTTTTTGGTGCACATCATTTCCATAGGCATTTAGCGTATGTCCGACAGCTGAGCGGGTCCGAATCATAGCTCGCCCCTTGAGCTGTTGGGCCTTGAACCATGCCGGTCAGTTTCACTTGTGCCAGAAGAAGCGAAATCGGAACGGCAGCGAAGTCTTGGCTCATTTGAAGACCTGAGCATGATAGAACCTTCGGTCTTGCGACATGATCGCGAAACGTGTTCCTACTCCCATTCCATCTCATACCCCGATGCGCTTTACATTGTACTATTAGTAAAGCAAAGACAGGTGGAAGTTTCCTCCATCCACAAATACAACTGCAGCAAGCTTCTGGTCGTGAATAACACAAACACGATCGAGCTTTTCTTAAAAGCCCGCGCAGGGCTCTGTGAGGAAAGCGGCAAACCCCGAAAGCCCACTTAGGGCCATGCTTTTTCTGCCTGATCCTATTCCTCAATTGTCACACGTTCATCGTTCCTCTTTTGCGCTCAATGCTCCCATCTTCGGCTAAGTACCGCAATAGTTCTTGTCAAACTTGAATTGATTACTCGATCACTTCACTCGTCTTGTTGACTTGACCGTATTACTTTTCATTGACTTCATTCTTACTCTACTTCAGCGAATGTCACGCTAGGTGAAATTACCTTGCTTCACTTACTCCTTTCTATAGCAGTGCATGGCGTTACTTTAAGTTCACTTCACTCTTGCGTTATGCGCAATGTAAGTGTATCATTTACGATACTCTAGCTTCATGCCAATATTCGCTTGCTCGATAACTGAAAGTCCACAAGTGCTGGTAAATAGGACAGCCAGAAGAATATGTTCAGCCTTTGATGAACAAACACCCCAGAGTCCACAACGCATTCATCTGAATCTGATGAAACATTTAATTCAAGTGCCTGTATCCCGTATTCGAGGAATGCACGCAGAAAGTTCACGTTTGAAGTTGGCGAGAGATGAATATGCTATTTCAATGTGTTTTTCCTGAGACAGCACTCAGCCCACCTGCTCTTCCAGAGTAGCCTTTGAAAGCGCGGCCACAGCCTTTCCACTTCACTAATTTGGCTTACTGCCTGACTGGCGTATCGTTTCGAATTCTCGCCTTCAGGCTTTCGCGTTGAGCGACGATGTCTCAACAGATCGACTCGCATCCCCGCAAAGCCATGGGCCTCAAAATCAGCAGCAGCAGAATGAAGGAGCCAAAGATCACCACCGCTAGTCCCACCTGAATGCAAATACACCTTGCCAGATGCGCCAAAAATGTCCTGTTGCCTCCCGTGGCCAGCAGGGTTCCGGATTTGACAACGAGCCCCTCTACCAAGTAAGACTTTTGGGATCCGCCCATTTCGAGCCATCTTCGCAAATGCCGGCTCAAACTAGCTCATGCCCCTGCTCACGTACGGGCAATCCAACTGCAGGCCCCGGACCTCACCCAACGGACGCAAGAAGTCAATGGCCGTGGCGGCCTGCGCCAAGGATGCCTCGGATTCGGCGACCAATGGTGCCCAAAGCTGAAAGATGTCCGGGAAAAATCCGCGCGAAAGAACATGTTCACGAACAGAGCGGATAAGCAACTTGCAAAGATGATTGAGCCTCGGAATAGCTAGAGCTGGTGAGGCACCCAGTCTGTTGGTGGTACATCACCAAGGCGCCAGGGTAGGCTTCGTGCGCTGGTACTCAAACTCAGGCACCGTCAGCAAGCGCGGGTTCTTGGTGACAGCATCCAAGGCCAAGCCTTCCTCAGACTTCTCCTGCAAGGAACCGCCAAGGCAGAGATCGCTAGATCGCTAGATCGCTCGAGATCCGTGTGAGACGACTTGCACCAATTCTGACTCGAGTTCTGCACAAAAGAGCTCCTCTAAGCTTCTAAGGTAACGGAAGGAGGCCTCCTGCATGGACGTGTCCTTAGAAAATACCGAAACGTCTCGCAGATTGTATATCTGCAAATTCAAAAAAATCACTGCAAATAGACTGATACAAGAAATTCTCAGACAGTGAGAAATGTGGGCAGTGTAGATTTCCTCTCGACATGTTCCTTGCAATGTCCACATGTGCCATACTCAAAACGTTGGTGTGGGAGAAAAACTCCCTAGATTGGAGTCCTCATGATGGTTGCCCAAAACATGGCCCCCTCACGGTGATCACGGTGATCACCTTTGATTTCGTTGCGGGGCAACCGAGTCCATAGATCCTTAATGAGTGCAGAAACTCCCAGTTGCCAGGTTCATGACTTTAGGTGTCCTTTTGGGAAAATAGATGGCCCTGGTAGTTGATTGAACCACCAGGTAAACCAGGGCCCTCTATTTTTCAACCAAATCAACCACCTATGTTCATGACGAGTTCGTCTCAAATGCATCGCTGAGGCCCGTGCGCCCAGCAGAAGGATGGGATCTTTCTCCACTATGAGCAGCGCCACATCAGATCCGAGGAAAGAGCCAAGCCTTTCCTTGGACAAGTGCAGGCCAAAATGAATGGGTGTGCCTCTTTTGAGGGTTCCCCTTTTGTTATGGTTTTAAAGGGAAACCAAAGACAACAAGACCAGTTAGGAGTCCTATTTTTTGAACACACCCAAACTTTGCTCCGTACGTCATCCATTGCGCCACTGGCTGAAGCGAGAAAGTCATGATGACATCGCCAGAAAGGGTCTGTGTGTAATCTACCATCATGTGTGGCAGACAAATGTGTATCTTGCAAGCAATCCACAATAAGTCGAGTTTGCATCGAAACGGAGCAAAGAGAAGGTCAATTAGTTGGACACAACGCAAATCAGGGAGCAAAGGCAAGACATGGAATGGTTTTAAAATCTGTGCGGATCATTGTAGGCTATGGTGTTGTCCTTCCTGAGAAGGCACTCGCAAAAGCACCCCCCCCCCCCCAACTGTGCCTTCAGCGTTTGGGCATGGATTGTTAAGTGCACAAACGTGCAAGTCCCCACGGCCCTTCTGCGGCAAGACCGCAGCGATGAGCGCAAAAAGACACACCCTCCCGCACATATGCCACACGGAACATGTTTGAAGGCCCCTTGAAAGAGGAAAATGATCCAACTAAGGAGGCGAAGACAGGTTCCATGTGGCTGAGCTAGGAGGGTACCAATCTCGTGCATGAAGCACATCTGAGTCTCGAATCGGCTCATTACTGTATTCTTGCCTGGGACGGAGCTGCTTCAGAACATGCCATGGGTGCTGCAAATACGCTTCGGAACACTGTGAAAGACACATCATGCACTGGGCAGGGTGCTGCAGTCGTCGCCCATAAATTGTCCGTTTTTCGCAGCTTCCGGGTAAGCCCTCGATAAAGCGTCGTACGCGCGGTCTGCCTGCCGTGCCAAGGTCACTCAGGCGCTGAAGGATTCACCCTGCCTTGGCATTGCCCTCTGCATCCCAGGGGAAGGCACCCAGAGCAATTCGGCGAGGGCGCTGGACACCTCGAGTTGTCCATCGCTTGCCAGCTGCAAACTTCACGCCCCCGGCCTGGCACAAAAGCGACGCTTCCGATCACGAGGGCTGCGAGCGAGAGCCTGAGAAGCTTGCAAACTCCAACCTGCCAACAGCCGCAAGTTGCCTGATATCACTATCCCTGGTTTGCCATTGGTTTAGTGCTCCGGAAGCCCTTCAAGCCCTTCAAGCCCTTCAAGCCCTTCAAGCCCTTCAAGCCTTTCAAGCCCTTCAAGCCTTCAATTATCTTGCGCAAATTTACTCCGCAAAGAACACCGAGACCTGTTCACCTGCAAGCATTCGAGTGCTGAGGTGCGTGAATCCGCGCCGCGGCCGGGCCCGTGCTCCCGGAAAGTTCGCCATGCCCGCAGACTCGCAGCTTGAGAGCTGCGCAACTCAAAGCCAAAAGGGGTGCAGTCCGAGTGGAGCGAACTGAAAACGCCTGAGACGCAAATAGGCACACAGGCCGAACCCGACAAAAGAATCCCAAGCCTCCTAAGAGCAGACCAAAGAGCCACACCAAGGGAAACCCAATATCGGCAATGATTGACTTTTGACATGGGCGCAAAGAAGCTACCTCAGCAGGCAATGCTGCCCCAACCAGGTTCCGAAGTCTCAGTTACTTCTTTACAAGGGCACGTCGAGCACATGACCATGGTCAAGATTACTTGCCCGTCCTTACTTTTTGGCGGGATTTTTGTGAGGGCCGTAGACTGCAAAGGCAAATACACACAAAACGCGGGAATTCTGGGAGCCACGCTGTCTGGAAAGGCACTGCAGAAATTTGGGAACCTCAAAGGGCGGCTTTGTGCTGGAGAAAGGATGCTGCTTGTCTTGGCTCTCTGCCAGCAATTCAGCGGCGATGCGAAGCACTCTGCCTCAAGTGACTCGAGCTCGTCCCACTTGACATGAAATCCGTCCGGCCTGCACGCCGAACTCCTCCTTGAGCACACTGAAGGCGGGTGGCGGCAGGGCCAGTTGAAAGCCAACGCCACCGAGGCTTTGATACCTCAAGGCCGTCACCAGTGCACATTGGTCGAAGCCCGGCTTTGCCTTGCCATGAAGCCGGAAGAGCTGTTGCAGCTTCCTGTACGCGGGCTTGCTCAGGCGTGCGGAGACACCTCCGCAGCTCAAGCTCACCTCGTCGCCTTCCACACAGCTGACCTCAGCGGGCTTCGGCTTCAGCTTCCGCAGGTTCTCGGCGTGGGCTGCGGAGGTGGACGCCAGGCGCCGCGCGATCTGCTGCGCCTCGGCGGCGGCGAAGCCCACGCCCTGCAAATCCGCCGCCAGCGTGGAGTCCGCGGCGCTGGAAACCGGCAGCAGCGGCTCCGAGGACTCCGAGCGGCAGATGGCGGAGTGCCACCACCGCTCGAAGGCCATGCTGGGATACCCAGGGCCGCCAGTGCACCACTCGCGGAGCTTCTGCTTCAAGGAATGGAAAGACTTCATGCGCTGCAACTCCTGCTGCACCGAAGGGCAGGGCACATCACTGGCATCCGCGCCCACTGAAGCCAGGAACTCATCCTTCGCGCAGGTACCTTTAGTCCCCTCCCATCGCGTGGCAGTCAGGAGCTGCGCCTTCTTTACTCTCGGCATGGGATGATGCGCCGGAGGGCGCAAACCCCAGGCAGCATGGCGTGAGGGCCACACTGCGCACCGCAGCCAAGGCTAAAGTCACTGTGACCGAGTAAAGCAAATTGCTTACCTGGCTCAGAATATGTGACAATGTGCCTGTGATGGAGCTATGAAGTGGACATTGGCGCCCATGATCCCCAAAGCTGCAGTTCTTGCAATGCAAATACCAGTAAACGAAAGGACCTTGAGATCCACAGCTGAAGCAAGGAGTACAAGCAATCATCTTCCCTTGCAAGCTTGGCAGGATTAACACGCTGCACTGTTAGCCTCCAAGCCTTCAAGCTGGATTCCGGCACTCTTTTGTACAAAGCTATGCCACAAGATGCACCACAACGGTGCAAGGGCGGTCTTTGTGCCTCTGCAGAGCTGCAGTTGCACTGCTGAATTCGCTGAAAGACATGCGCCGTGCCCAAGCTGATGGAAGGGGGACCGGTGGCCGGGCAACAAAATGACATGAGCATGTCCTTTGAGAAAGATTGGCCAATGAGCAAGAAAGGCCAGCCCCTCATGCCTTGGTGCAGAGTGCGCCTCCTAATCCTAGCTCGCGGAAAAAGTTGCTTTGTGCTGTGAGCGTGAAACAGCCGATGGCTGGCAGGCTTTGCATCTCAAAGCCTGGAGCAACAACAACACAGCCCAAGGCCCCGTCACGTTCCCCATCACACGCAACAAACAGTGCCGTCTGCACCGACAACGGATGTTTCCTCGTCCTTCATGATGTACAGCAAAGCTCGGTACTTCAAAATGTTCGTGCGATATTGTTTGAGAAGAGTTACAGGTTGCATCGAGCATCGATAGCTCCTAAGAAAGCGTGTCTCGGCTCAAGATATTCAAGGCACCTGCATCGTTACAGCTCTGTCTTGCCCTTGGCAGCCTCAGCGTCCCACAGCCAGCACGAAGCGGGGAAATCACGTGGAACGAGAGTTCGCATGCGCCGCACGCCTGCTTGTAAGTGATCGCAGTGCTTCTTTCTTTCCAGTCCCGCCATGCAGTGCCTGCCGTCTGCGGTAAAAAGCAAGTCGTGTCTTGTGCCTGGTCTATCGTCGTTTTCCTGCGGTTACCTATGCCCCGCAGTTTTCCTAGACGGAGAATGGCCTTCTTCTATTCTAACCTCCTCCTCCATCTCCAGCTTGGCTTTCGCCTACTCACAGGGCATGCAGCAGTCCTAACACTCACTCTGACCAGGCCTTCGCATCCACGTTGGAAGCTGAGAGAGACAGAGTCTGGCGCTAGCAGCACAAGCAGCTTAAGTATGTTGGCCAGCTCAGTCCATTCCAGACATCAAAGTACGCTTTCCGGCTCACCTACTTAGTTGGATGATATATATATATATATATATCAAAGTTGACGATCACCCAGAGGGTCGCCCTGTTTGCAGACCTTCCAAAGCTCGTTGCTCCGGCCTTCCCTGTGACCTCAGGGAGATCCACTGCAAGGCGCACCTGACGGTTTGACCCTCCAGAGCTCAGATTGGACTCAAGTCCCAGGTGATCCAGAAGCGACTGTTTTACTAAATGGGCAGGCTTGGGTGATCCCCGGGGGTTGAGGAGAGATTTGGTTGCGGAAGGGTGTGCCCTCTCCAAGTTGACCGTGAGCCAGTGGGTCATGTGCTAGTCCACATGAACATTTGTCCTTCGTAAGTGTGCCCTCTTTGTGCGCTCTAATTGCAAGTAGAGGAAAGGATCCCATGGCCTTCGCAGGCTCGGATCGTTCATGCAGCCAGGCCGCATACAAATCACCTCGCTTGCTCCCCGACTGGACCAGGCCCTTCCCCTTCAAGCGAAGGACCTGGGCAAACTCTTCTTCTAGCTTGCTATGTCTGAAATCAGGGTTCTACTTTTTGAGTACACCAAGATGAACTTAAACCTAGGGGTTCTCCCTTTTGGGGGGAATGAACCATTTCTGGGTTTAAGTCTACCCTGGGGTAGTCAAAAAGTAGAACCCTGTCTGAAATAGTCTGAACCCGCACCTCGTTGGGCTTCTCGACGCGATCCTTGCTGATGCTCACCTAAGGCCGTTGTTTTTCGGCCGTCGGTCGTCGGCTCTGATGAGCCCAGTGACAGTCTCCTCTCCCAGGTGGGTCCAGGAGATCCTCAGCTCCGTGTTCCGCTCTTGAGACGAGCACATCAGCAGTGACATATCCGTGCTCTAACTCAATGGGAGACATCGTCAAGCATTCTCGCCCTCTTAAACAACAAAATCTGGAGGTAATAATAATTTGCGTGTCAAAATAGGCCTTGAAACCAAGGTAAGCGGTGGTCTTAACCTAAGTTTTGCGGTGTTGTATTCCATGTCTACCTCCGCGAACCCTTTCGCGTGCCTTTCGCGCCCCGCCGCTTTCTCTTTGCGGAGCACATTGGGCCAAGTGACCCTTTCACGGGGCTTTCGCCGATGGTTTCCCGCGGGATAAATAACCTGTCTGGCTCACCATCATTGGCAGGGTTTCGCTTTTTGCGGCATACTCCACGTACACTTTGCCAGATCTAGCTCGAAAGTCGCAACTTTTCAGTACAAGTGCGGCCAACCTTTCGCACGCCTTTCGCGGATTTTCATGTGCAAAGCCTGTCTTTTGCCTGCTGTGCACTACAAGTACTACGCGCCAGGCGATTCCAAGGAATTTGAATGGGGAACCACTTGGTTTGGGCATGAATCCCCACCTATTTCGGATGTCCACCAAAGGGTCCCCAACTACGGCAATTTCAAGCTCTGAATACACTGCCATCAAGAAAAATCAATCCGAACAGTAGATTGAGGTGCTTCTGAAAGCTTTCGCAGCCCCACGTCGTTCCTTTCGCGCGACAGCCACTTTGCACGTCTTTCATGTTGTTGTTGAACGCCGATGAAAAGGGTGCATTCAAACAAAGCCAAACCTACTTCGACCAGGGAGCGAGAAGCCGAAAAGCGCCTGCTCCAAGGAGATGTGCAGCACCTTGGAACGCACCCGCTCGATTGCAAGATCTGGCAATGGGGGCCCGCACAGTATGCAGGTCCGCTTCTGCGATCCTGTAGCTGTCCTCCTTGCTACCTTCAAGGCAAATACAGCGGTGCAAGTGGAAATAACAAGTTGCACGAAATCCCGGCGGCCCGCCTCTCTGAACCTTGAAGTTGACCTTCCAATCAAGAATGGAACGACTAGTTGCACAAACTTGCAAAGCAAGCTCATGCCGGAATTGGCCCTCATTATGTTGACCTTGGGGGGAGGGGAGGGTTTTAAATATGAGGTGTACTTTAGTTATGTGCTGACTTTGTCAACATGCTTTGCCTCGCGATGGATAAATTGCATCTGGCTCACAACGCACAGGCCTTGCCAGGAAACTTCCCCGGGGTCTGATGGCCAATGTTGGCCATCACCTGGGCTTCCCCGGGAAGTACCACATACATTTGGGATGCTTTGGGCCCGGCCCGGGAATTATTGAAACCAAAACCCGGCTTCTTCCTCTCTGACTCCCTCTCCCTCTTTCATTCTTTTTACCTCTCCCTCTCTCTCTCACTCTCTTTACCACTCTGTCTCTCTCTGTCTCTCTCTCACTCTCTCTCACTCACTCACTCACTCACTCACTCTCTCTCTCTCTCGATTGCTCTTGAAGCTGTGTCTCTCCACGGCTCTTCAATCTGCCAGAGATGGTCCCACAGGGCGCAGGCCTTCAGGGAAGCGCCCTGCTTGGCACCCTTGCTCACGCGCAGCGGCACCTAAAAACGTCAAGCCGCGGAATTTGTTTGCATCGGCAGATCTGCCAATGACTGCTGAACACGAACCCAATTCCTGCGGTCTTAGCAAAGGATGGCAACAGCATCTGCCTCGTTGCTCACCCCCGCCTCGACGCCCACTTCGCGGCAGCGCTCGCGGCTCTCCTGCTCCTTTTCCCGCATGCCAACCACCTGGCGAATTCCGAGGCCACATGCCTGCACATTTGTGCCCAGGGTCAAAGATATCATCAAACATCCTAGGCCCACAAACAGCTTGAATATGGTTTATGAGGATTCCAGACTCTCAAAACAGGACTCATCTGCTCTGTTTGTGACACGAGCTGCTCGTCTCTGTTCCTGTAGCTTGCCCACGAGGGGGAAGTTGTTTGGAACTGTTGGAATTGCTCGGTCGGCATGTCAATACGAGCCAGCCTGCCGACCGAAGGGCGTCATGCCATACTGTGGAACCTGAACCTGTCGAGGGGATGCCTTCTCGCAACTCGCAATGGCCGCCCTCTCGCAATGGCCTTCTCTGGCGGACACCGTCCGCAGTCTTGGCATTCAGGCCTCATGCAACGAAACGTCGACACGTGCGCTTGGATGCCCATTACCGCGAGCCCGGCTTGCTCGGATCTTCCTTGCACCCTCGGCAAATCATCAACCTCACTGCCAGGAGACTGTGCATCCCAAAACCCAAAACCCTTGCCGCCCACCGAGGGAAAGTGAAGACCTTCTTCTCCACTCCATTGTAGAGATCAGACGCCGATATGTCTACCATTACCTGGCCAGCTCGCAAGAAACGGTGCAGTGAACCAAATCAACCTTTGTGAAATGTGTGCTAACCAAAACCCCACTGTCAAGGAGTCTACCCCAAACCATGCAAGAATCTACGGGCGGCCGCGCCTATCTATGCTAGGAATGTCCCACACTACAGCACCCTTGCTCCAGGTGTTGAGCAAACATGTTTGAAACATCTTCCGCGGGGTGAGCACTGTTGCCTCTCTCAGCACAACTTGTTCCTTCGTTGAAGTCGAGACGCCACTTCTCTCCAACAAAAATCATGTAAAGTAGATCCTTTCCCTGGCACAGTCTCTGCTGCTCTTACCCTAAGCTTCAAGCTTCGAGCGTGCGCTGCACATGTGAACATGCCTATCCGATGCGTCTTGCTCAAGTTCCTTCCCTCAAGTTTCATCAGTTGTGCAGGCCAAAACATTGCCTCCAGCTCCTCGCTTTGAAGCTTCTGTTGAATCTTGGACTCAATGCTAGCCTTGCCAGGGTGGGGTTCCAGGGACGAGAGAGCGTCCGACGGCACATTTGAGCAGCGGCCGAAGCCCATTGACTTTTGTTTCTGCTAACAGGGTTATACAGGTTTCTATGTCTTGACTCATTGACTATAACCTTCATGCAACCAGTACAACCGACTAAATGACCAGAAACAAGATTGGGCGCTACTCATTTGAGCTCTTGGGTGAGGCCTTGTCGAACTGCTTCTTCTGCTGCTCGATTTGTGCCTGGAACCTTCCAGCAATCAGTGACTTCACTCTCTCGAACATCTGACTCGCGCTGAGCTTCTGGCATCTTGTACTGCGGGTGATTCTTCGGCACCTGAACACCAGGCAAATCGCGCAAGGAGAAAATCGCCGTTGCGAATGTGCGCTCCTGATTCAGCTGCGCATCCTTGGCTCTCTCTCTCTCTCTCTCTCGCTGATTGATCAGACGCTTGCACGCAAGCCGCAAGACCCTGCAAAAAACCAGTGCAATCAGGTTTGAGGCACCATGCTGACATGAACAAGCGCCACCCCGTCCAGCGAGTCCACTTTTTCAAGGACGCCAAACATCACTTTGGACGAGACTCCAGCTGAGCTTTTTGCCCTTCCACCTCCTTCCAGGCGATCTCCACATTCTTTACGAGCTGCATACCACCTGAGCCCAAGAAAGGCAAAAACCGTTCGCCTGGGGAAACGCGGCATGGGGTCCAAATCGCAAACAAGCTGCCCAGGTTGTATTGCCTCAGCTGGAGCAAAGCGCCAACTGTATCGCTACAATCCTCCGCAGTTCATCCTGGAACTCGGCATGATTACCAACTTTGTCACCCCCCAGGCAAAAAGTGTTCCTTGTTGAGGCTGGCCACCTGCGTTTCTCGGTATCACCCAAGACCTGCGGCACCAGCTTGTTTCGTGTGCATGCACTAGCCCTAGCCACCTCATAGGCTTCCCGGAGTTCGTTGAAAACATGAGGATCACCACCTGCGGGGACGTCAGGCAGTGAGAACAGTCACCCAAACACTTGTCTTCTGACATGCTGGTGCAAATTGTATCTTGACACTGTAGACAATCAAATGCCTTTGTCAGGATGGTTCTGCACGGACAAGCGCCGGAATTTGCCTGCATTGCAAGAAAATGTCTAAGTAGAGTGAGACTGCTCGAGCTATGTAGACTAGACACTCTTAACCGCGCTCTGATCTGCATCCTCAGGAACATCAAGCACCTTGTAAAGGTCCGCACCTTGGATTCAGTGTTTGCGGACGCGAACCAACAAAGTCAGTGGCTGCATCCAGTCAAAGGTCTCCACTAACCATGCTGTCTTGTTCATCTGCCACGGCAACCCGCTTGAAGCCCAGTTTGCCTTCGGCGGGCTTTGGATTCTCACCCAAACACCTTGAAATGCATGAGCTTGTCGCCTTTCTTTCCGGTGCTCTTGCCTCATTGCAATCGCGACACGCCCGCACAAGACTACATATGCATCCGCCAATAGGAGCGCGCCGTAAATTCCCATCATGCAGCCATGGGACTAGGTTTTTCCATGACCAGGGAAATCTTCTGAAGCTCGCTCTCCTCCTGGCAGTGCAACAGGGTGCCAGTCCCGCAACCATTGAAAGTCGTCCTTGTTCTCGAGCTTCTTGCGATCCACCTTGTCCAATCCTTCGATGGAGAATTTCACCACCTGCCGGGGACAAAGGATGCGCCCTTCTGTGATGCTGCCTTGCCCGCGCTGGGCGAAACGCCGCAGAAGCTGTCGGCACAAACCGCCTTCAGCTTTGGCGTGTTGATCAGGACACGGCCATTGTTGGCCGCCCATAAGCAGTGCCCTTCTGGCTCACACTCCTGACATGATGCTTTCTAAGTGAGTCAGATGGCAAGTCCAATGGTCCTTCAGGGGAGATTCTACAAAGCCATCTCGGAGCAGCAAGTACTTTGAGGTCTTGCCTTCCTCGGTGCAGTTGCTGCGCCAGGTGAAGTGTCTGTGTGTGTGTATGTGCGTGGCCGGTCGTCTGGTCTGGTAATGAATTGGGCTTGACACGAATCCAAATCACTTCAGCCAAGGTTCCCATTCAGTGTTGACCAACCACCTTGGTCTTGCCAAATCAGAGCTTTCAAGGAAAAACTGTCACGACTCAGAGACCCACTCAAAATCCGCCTCAGTTGGAAGCAAGTCGCCATGCAAGCTGGAAGCATCAGCATGCTGCTGAGCCGCAGATACCTCTGAATTCTCTGTCTTGGGCCACTCAGCGCCTTTTCGGCCACCGCCGCCGCCGCCGCCTCCTCCAACCGCCAACTGACACATCCGCGCTGCGCGAAGTGTCCGCACCTCCCATCATCCCCAGCATCTCCGCGGGGATCTCAAACTGAAACTGGCCTGACTCAAGCGGCTTCAAGGTCTGACCGCATGCTTTCCCAGGCAACTGCAACGCCTCTTGCATGGGCGGCTAAAAGCAGAGCCAGCCATGCCTTACTTGAAGGCATGAAAACCACATGAAGGGGTTGAGCTCCAAATGGCATTTGGAGCCACGCCCATCTTGCAATAACTCTACTCCCTCTGAAGCTCCGCTTCTCTCCCTGGAGAGCTGATTGTCTGAGCGCATGACCCGAGTCATGGTCAAAGAGTGGAGGCGCGACTCAAAACTGTGGCCTCTAAGCCGCCCTGGCAAATAGAATGCGTTTATGCTGTTTCTGTTGTTGGTGGCGTAAAACCAATGCGTAAACCAATGCGTCTCGAGTTCAAGATAAATCAGGTGTGAATTATTATCATTAACAAGCAGCTCACGTGAGTCTGTTTCTGTTGGTCTTTCGCTGATGCCGGTAGTCCATGGTCCCCTGTGTTCAGCTTGGGCCGCAATTAAGACAGTTGACATGGCGAAAAGCAGCTCCACTGAATCAAGGTCCTGTTGGCACGGAGATGGCTGGTCAAAACTGAAAAGCGTAAAGGCAGCTATGGTCCCTCTGAGGAACAACTACTTTTTCATGCGCCACATCTGCCGAGTGAATCTTTGCACAGGCATCTGCCCTCAATGGAACTCATCAAAGTCATCCCAGAGCCGATCAAACTCGGCCACAAAATCTTCAGCCTGATCCAAAACCCAGCATGAAACATCAAGCAAGCTGCAAAGCATGTGTGTCTTGATTGTCACGAGTATATGGACTCTTGGACACTGAATCTCTAAATCCTTCCTGGCATCTCTCAGCTGGGCCCCTCACCAAATGTACATAATCACCTGGGCTGGTCTCCGCTGTACTGAGAGCAGCTTCAGAGCAATTTTCACGGCAAAGTCCTGCCCTCATCCAGATTTTCTCTTGTGCAAGCGAAGTGCTCCATCATTCCGAGGGCGGCATTTTGTAATTAAGCAACAGATTCGCTCGCGCTGATAGCCGGTTCGCCAATTGCAGCCAGCTGGCGGAAGATGATCGCATCCTCCTGGTTTCCTTTTGTGGCCTGTCTCGTGCGCACTTCTGATTCGCACTCTCTGAAAGATCCGGCCTTGCCTGTGCGGTCCAATTGAAAGACCCGTTTATCAGAGTCCTCTCGTCTATCACTGCCTTGGCTCAAATTATGGTGGCCAATCCTTCGAACTGAAGCAAGCCAAGCGTCGAATTTGTGATGCATTGCATACCATGACCTGAAAGGAAGAGTAGACACTGTGTGAATGAAGGTCACACACTTTAGAAAGGAATCCAGCTAAAACCTACAATCTCAACTGTTCAACTTGGCAAGTGGCCTGACTAAACGCGACAACGCAGAGAGGTGCTCCGAAGTTGATGCGTCCAAACTTGTTCGGCTGAGGAAAAGGGTCACATTGGCCCTGCCTGTCCGTGCGAACTGGCACGCCGCTGCGAGCAAGGCGTTGCGCGTCGGCACCGGGCACAGAGGCCTTTGTCCGCGCGCCGGAAGCACGTGCTATTCTGGGACCCGAGCTTCAATCAGTCATGCCACACCTTGCCCCGTGCCACCGTTCCGCACTGCAGGCGCCGGCCTGCCTGGCGATTGTCTGTGATGATGCGAACTGCTAGGCCTCAGGGCGGCAGGCAACGCATCTGACGCGTTCCAAAAGCTCGTCCAGGCGAGCCCTCGAGCCGGCGCCGTCGCCGCCTGCTTTGTGCTTTTGGATGAGCACGTCCACCAAGGAATCCAGCGTTAAGGTAAAGACCTTGCCAAGGCGCAAAGGATCAAGGCTCGCAGCTCGCAAGGCAAATCAACACTTTCTCCCATCTCACACAAAACGATGGTGGAGCCCTTGCTCCTTCCAGATCGTCCGGAAGTTTCTGTTCTGGACAACCGGACTTATTTTGTGTATGGCTTATTAATTAGGCGCATAACTTCCACTCTCAACAAAAGTCGTAGCCATCTGAAGAGCCTCGCCACTGAGCCAAGGATCTCAGGCTGCGGCTGCAACTTCGATGCTGCGCCGAGCGGACTCGAGCTCGCTCATTATCATCCCCACCTCGCCGAGGGGCCAAGGGGCCAAGGCAAGCGCACGTTGATTTGCGCGGAGCGCATTTTTCATGGTGGACTCGGGGAAGAAGAGGGCAGCCACCTGCGAGAACTGAACTGAGGGCGCATAATGCTCCCTCAAAGTTGCTCCAAGGAAAAGAACATAGAATTGCCCAAACAGCGGAATCATCACGTGCAACCCATGTTTCAAGCAGCTGAGAACCTTGCGTTGCCGACAAAGCTGGCCGCGGGCGCATCCGCAACACTTCCACGTGAGAAGGCGGCCCACATGCGCTCGAACCTTGTCCCCGCGGCATCAGCCAAACTCCGAAACGTGGAAGTCTGTGGTCCGGGCTCTTGAGCAAATTGAGCGCACAAGTCGCGATTCCTGAGCGCACCATGGAGGGCCATTTTCGCTATGGAGAAATGCGTAAGGCCGGAGCTGGCTGATGACTACATTCTCATTGCCTCGACCAGACAAGCTGCAGAGCTGGGACACTGAGGCTTCAGCGTTGCAAGCTCCGCACCTTTTTCTACAGCGGCATGTGTCCAGTTCAAGGACCCACTGATCAAGGTGCAGCCGTCGGAGATCACAAACCTGGGCCCGAGGAGCGCAAATTGAGGCACAGCCGGAGAAATGGGATCTGCGGCTTGTGATGCATATGCATCTTCTCGTTGGCATCCATACCTTGCATTTGCGCGAGTTGGTGTTGGCAGATCATGCTGTTAACTACATGGGTTACATCCCCTCAGCACCAGGCAGACACGCACGCCAGCACGCTTCAAGCCCGGCACCTCTGAGTTGTCTTGCTTGGCCTGCGAATGAAACCCACAGCAAATGGAGCGCTCAACGCCGGCAACCCGTGGCCAAACACTCCAGGTGCAGAGATTCCGTCAAGCACAGTGCCTGCATGTCATCGGTCAGGACCCGCACAACCACTCCGCGCCTCACGGCGTTGGGTCTACCAAAACCCTTGGGAAACCAGCTGCAGCGAGACTTGATCCGGAGAAGATGGTGGAGAATGTGATTCGCGCGCGAATCCCGAATCCCGAACCCCGGCCCGATTCCGGCCTTCCCAGTCCCAAATCCCGAATCCCGAATTCCGAAGCCAAAAAATGGGGCCTTCAGTCCCGAATTGCGAATCGCGAATCGCGAATCCCGAGCCCCAAATCCCGAATCCGAATTGCGAGGATGGGGCCTTCCGAATCCTGAAGCCCGAATACCAAGCCTAAACCAACTCCTAGACCAACCCTAAACCAGCCCCTAGAAACCCTGAACCAACCCTAAACCAAACCTAAACCCTAAACCAACCCTCAACCGCCCCTAAACCATCCCTAAATCAGCCCTAAACCAGCCCTAAACCAACCCTAAACCAACTCGAAGCCAGCCCTAAGCCAACCCTAAACCAGCCCCTGCTTCACCACCTCCTTGTCGCCCGTTTCATTGTTCGGCCCCCAGTATCGATTGAGGTTGTTGATAAACTTACCAAACAATCGAATAATGGCCATGTGACCAGAGGTTGCCTCAACGAGCGGGTCCACGCAGGGTCCACGCATCTGGCCCTGCGTTTGACTTCGGGAACGTCGTTTCCAAACGATCCAACTCCACGCCCCTCGTTGGATTGCGAGACCTTCGCGTCGGCGTCATCCTGGAAACTTTTGCTGGCCTTACCAAACTCACCACGCGGCTTGGGCTAGACCAACCGTAAACCAGCCCTAGACCAATCCCTAACCAGCCGCCAAACCAACCCTAAACCAACCCTAAACCAAACCAACCCGAACCAACCGTAAACCAGCCCTAAATGTACCCTAAACCAGCCCTAAATGTGCCCTAAACCAACCATACCCAACTTTAAACCAAAACCAACCCTAAACCAGCCCTAAACCAACCCCGAAACCTAAACCAACCCCTAAACCTAAACCAACCCTAACCAACCCTAAACAAACCCCAAAACAACCCTAAACCAATTCGTTTGGCATCGCTTTAAAGCACAGCCCAAGAAGGCTTCATTCTGGTTCAGCCACCCTTCCTGCTGGCTTTTGGTAATCATTGCATTGCTGCCTTGTGTAGATTTGCTCCGGTTGGATGCTGCTGTTTGAGAACTTGGCCGTTTTGTTTGAGCAAGCTGGCAGGCTGTGTACACCGAGGAACTCCAAGGCAGCTTGCCCTGCAGGAGAATGGGCCAGCACAAGGGGCGACGAGGACATTTTGCAAGATCTCATGCGCAAAACTGTCCTGCGCGCTACATATCAGTAGTTGCAACTGGCAATTGGACGCCTCGCATTGGACAGCTTGTCTGTATTTTGATGTAGTACTTTGTGGCAAGCCCATGCCCGTTTGGTAGCAGACTTGAGATAAAACGTAATGTTCCACTAGCACACACCAGCATGTCTTTAGTTCAAATGGCCCCCGATAGAGTTTCTCATTAAAAAGCCTCGTGCATTTGGCAACAGCATCTCAAATTCTTCGGTTGTTCTTATACTAGCCCATTCTGACGCAAATGCATGAGCTGCAGCTGAGAATTCCTGCGCGGCTTGACCTGAGAGTTGAATCAACGCTAAGCGCCTAGAACACCTGTATCAGTCAAGTGTGTACAAGCTGGAACAACCCGTGTACATGTGGAAGGGGGGAAAGCATACAATACGGATATGTTTCTCAGCCATTGGTCGGATATTTTTCCATGCTCGTTTTTTTGCCAGCCTCCATTGCTCCGAGCTACTCCTTTGCGCTAAACACCTGCTTCAAGTACCAAGCCCAATGGCAATCCTCCAAAGACCAGTCTGGGCATTGTCGCAACTCCAAATAAATGTAATACAGAATGGCTGCCCCTGCTACAATTTTGCGCTTGTGTGTTGCTTCACAATGCAACAGTGCAATGATGACTTGCAGACTTGCAACACATGCGGAAAACACAAGCAATTGTCCCATTAGTTTCCCGCAGCAAAGCTAAATCTTGAGAAGGTCATGCTGAATCTGCAACGCTTGACGAATCCAATATATGGCACCACCTGATGTTGGTTCCATTCCCTCTCGCAACTAACATGGAAGCGCACAAAGCCCAATCCCGAATCCGAGGAGGGGCCTTCCGGACCTTCCCAGTCCCGAATCTCGAATCCCGAATCCCGAATCCTGAGCCCCGAATCCCGAATCCCGAATCCCGAATTCCGAATCCGAGGAATTCCGAGGCAGCCCTAGGCCCACCCTGAACCAACCCTAAACCAACCCTAAAACAACCCTAAAATAAGCCTCAACCAACCCTCAACCCTCAACCAACACTAAACCAACCCCTAAACCAACCCCGAACCAACCCTAAACCAACCCTAAACCAGCCCCAAACCAACCCTAGACCCACCTTAAACCAACCCGAAACCAACCAGCCTTATATCAACCCAAATCTCCAGATCCCGGATCCCAAATCCCAAATCCCGAATCCCGAATCCCGAATCCGAGGATGAGGCCTTCCCAGTCCCGAATCCCGAATCCCAAATCCGAGGAGGGCGCCTTCCCCGAAAATGTGATTCGAGCCCCGAATCCCGAAGCCCGAAAAATGTGACTCAGTCCCGAAATGCTATTAAATCCCGAACCACAACATTGACAGCGACCTCCGGATCGCCACTCGCTGCAGTCTCTGATACTCATTGGGTCCATGGAGCCGAGCAAATTGCTGCCCAAATACACAGCCAGCTTCACTCAACTTTTGAACAGCCGTTTTAACTCACCCGCGCGGGCGGCGCTCTGGGACACACAGCAGGCTTGCAGCAGCGTCAACCCGCAGAACTCGTTGGCAATCTATTCGCAATCATTTTCAACACTCTTGCGGCCCACATGGCGCACACTTGAACTATCCTCTCACACTTTTGCGAAACCTCATCTCCTGTCTGCATTCAGCAACTTCCTAGGACAATCAAACCCCTCAACAACAATAGCAACACTCTGCAAAACGCCAAGAACACAGCACTCTCGAGTTTCAACACTCTACGAACAGCCCTCAAAACATGATCTTAGACTCGTACACTCTCAAGATGCTTGAACGGACCCCTTTAGCAAATTGTTTAGGGAACATTGTTTGAAAAAAATATGCAGGGACACTCTTGCAAAATGTTGTTCAGCGATGAGTTTGGTGAGCGGCTCTCAAGCAACAGTGTTTACAATACAACTCTTCAGCCACACCATTTAGTCACGCAGCACAATACAAACCCAGGACTCCATGCCTTGAAAAAGCTGTCTAACAATACCACAGAGAATAGAAACCGCCAAGCCATGCACAACGTTACAACACGTTGATCAGTGCACCCTGTCACCTGCTCAGCAACTCATATATGTCGCAAATTCAAGTCAGGCTCCAGGCACCCATGGCCCATGAAAAGGCCGAAGGCAAGAAACAAAGGCAGCGGGGATCACATGGACTAAGGAAGTCCAACAAAATCCACCAAGCAGAACAATCCCACCAAACTGAAGGAGCCAACACGTGTTGAGGGGAAACAAGCGATCAATGCCTCTGTCGAGCCTCCGCCCTCCACGGAAAAACTGGCCTGTGCGCAGCCAGCACTGCTGAAGCCAAATCTTTGTGGCTTATAGCGAAAACCTGAAACAAAGCACGCTCCTTGAATGATAGCAATGGGGATGCAATGGCGGACAAAGCTCAGCGCGGCCTTGCTTTGCTCTTCGCACAATCCGAGGATGAGACAGCAATGTCCAAGCTGCGCTTAGCGCCGTCAAGCAATCGAAGAAGCCGTGACAAACCTGCAGTATTGTCGGAGTGAAACATGAATGGTCACAAATGCTGAATTGAGGTTTGCTTTGCTTGACCGATCGATCTAGGTTTGGGGTTAGGCTTGAGGGGTGCGTTTTGGGTTGGTTTTGAGTTAGGCTTAGTGGGTGGCGGTCTGGTTGATGAGTGGGGCAGTTGGATTCACAGATTCAAAGCCGGAAATAGCTTCATGTTGGAGGTTGCGACCGGTACCCGGATTAGCTGAGGGGGCAATGAACTGTAAAACAAGTGAATAGCGAGGCGATATTCAAAGCCACGAGCCACAAGCCAAACGACGAGAAGGCAAGGGAAAGGCAAGAATGTCGCCAAAGTACTTCTGGGTCAGGATCGGCACGCTGAGCATTCTACAGAGTGATGGGACCAGCGTCAGCCAGATGTAAGTATCATTATTGCATAGTTGTATTGAGTCATGTGGGTCTGCGTCGCCCAAGGGCACCTGACGCAATGATATCCCTTGCCCAGCCTGCTTTGGATTCGTCGGGAAAGAAGATTGCCTCAGACCAGGACTGTTGCAATTCTCCGGCCTGCGCACGCAGCACCTCTTCGCTGGTGGCTCCCCAAGGGCAAGCCCAGCAGCAGCAGCAGCAAATGCCTCGCGCTCGCAACTTTCGCGGGGCTTGCCCATCAAATGTCAAACGTCCAGGGCCAGTCCATAGAGGTCTGCTGAAGGTCTGTTGGCAACTACAGTAGCCAAAGCATGCATCTTTGGAGCTGCACTTGGAGCGGCAGTAAAGCTTGCCGCCTGACCCTGTTAGATTTGGTGGCTGTAGCATGGATTCGGTGCTTGCCCGGGCTGGCTGTGTAACTTTGAACTGACTCAATTGAGACTTTGGGCTTTTTCGGCTGCTGACCCGGAAGCTGCTTTGGAAAATATCCGAGCGGTGTTTGGGATTGCCGAGGATTATTTCTCTCTTTATGTCTGTCGTTCTTTCTTTCTTTCTTTCTTTCTTTCTTTCTTTCTTTTCTTTCTTTTCTTTTTTTTTTCTTTCTTTCTTCCTTCCTTCCTTCCTTCCTTCCTTCTTTCTTTCTTTCTTTCTTTCTTTCTTTTCTTTTCTTTCTTTCTTTCTTTCTTCCTTCCTTCCTTCCTTCCTTCTTTCTTTCTTTCTTTCTTTCTTTTCTTTTCTTTCTTTCTTTCTTCCTTCCTTCCTTCCTTCCTTCTTTCTTTCTTTCTTTCTTTCTTTTCTCTTACTTTCTTTTCTTTTATGTTATTGTCGTTCTGCCTGTTGCTTTTACTTCTCTTTTAGGTTATTGTTGTTTTATGGTCTCGATTTGTTTCTTACTTTATTTCTTTATTTCCTTCTTTATTTCTTTCTTTCTTGGCTTGTTTGTCTGTCTATTTGATTGGATGACTGTTTCTTGGTTTGCTTGATTGGTTGTTAGTTTGTCTATCTGTTAGTTTGTCTGTCTGTTAGTTTGTCGGTCTGTTTGTTTGTCTGTCTGCGTTCTTGCTTGTTTACATGTTTGCTTGCTTGCTTGTTTGTGTTTGCTTGTTTGTGCTTGTTTGTTTGTGATTGTTTGTTTGCTGCTGTTGTTGCCGTCGTTGTTGTTGCTGCTGCTGCTCTGTTGTTGTGGTTGTGGTTGTGTCTGTGTCAGTGTCAGTGCCTGTGTCTGTGCCTGCATTGTTGTGCTTCTGCGGCATGTATGACTGTCCTGTGTGGGTGTATGTGTGTGTGTGTGGTTGTGCTTCTGTGTGTTTTGTGTGGTCATGGCTGTTGGTGTGGTTGTGTGGTTGAGCACGCGTGCGCGCGTGCATGCGCGCGCGCGTGCGTGCGTGCGTGCGTGTGTGGGTGCGTGGGTGCGTGGGTGCGTGGGTGCGTGGGTGCGTGGGTGCGTGGGTGCGTGGGTGCGTGCGTGCGTGCGTGCGTGGGTGCGTGGGTGCGTGGGTGCGTGGGTGCGTGGGTGCGTGCGTGTGCGTGCGTGTGCGTGCGTGTGCGTGCGTGTGCGTGCGTGTGCGTGCGTGTGCGTGCGTGTGCGTGCGTGTGCGTGCGTGCGTGTGCGTGCGTGTGCGTGCGTGTGCGTGCGTGTGCGTGCGTGTGCGTGCGTGTGCGTGCGTGTGCGTGTGCGTGCGTGTGCGTGCGTGTGCGTGCGTGTGCGTGTGGTGTGCGTGTGTGTGTGTGGTGTGCGTGTGTGTGTGTGCTGTGCATGTGTGTGTGGTGTGCGTGTGTGTGGTGTGCGTGTGTGTGGTGTGCGTGTGTGTGGTGTGCGTGTGTGGGGTGTGTGTGTGTGGGGTGCGTGTGGTGTGCGTGTGGTGTGCGTGTGGTGTGCGTGTGGTGTGCGTGTGGTGTGCGTGTGGTGTGCGTGTGGTGTGCGTGTGGTGTGCGTGTGGTGAAAGTGTGGTGTGCGTGTGGTGTGCGTGTGGTGTGCGTGTGGTGTGCGTGTGGTGTGCGTGGTGTGCGCGGTGTGCGCGGGCGCGGCGCGTGCGCGTGCGCGTGCGCGTGCGCGTGCGCGTGTGCGTGCGCGTGCGCGTTGGCGTGGGCGTGGGCGTGTGCGTGTGCGTGTGTGCGTGTGCGTGTGCGTGTGCGTGTGCGTGTGCGTGTGCGTGCGCGTGTGCGTGTGCGTGTGCGTGTGCGTGTGCGTGTGCGTGTGCGTGTGCGTGTGCGTGTCCGTGGGCGTGGGGGTGGGTGAAAAAATAGTAAAAGGAGAATTCAATCAATTATTCTTTCTACTATTTTTCCAACAGCAACACAACAAACAGAAAACAAAATCCAGAACAACAAGCAAACAAAATAAATAATCACAACCAGCAACAAAAATATTTAATCACAGCATGCAACATTAAATAATTCAATCAAGCATACCAACAAAACAGCAACACTCTAAATCATCAAAGAACCCAAACTCAAAAACACACATCAACAAAAAACAAAGCAACATACCAACAAAAAATATCACAAGAGTATCAAACAAAACAAAAACAAACAGCCAAAGCACGAAAAAATCAAAAGAGCATGCCAAGTCTAAACAACGCACTTTGAAAGAGATAAGCAAATTAGGAAAATATAATAATTCAATCTTTACAAACGATAAATATATTACAATTATAACATATAATAGTTTACATGTTATTATTATAGTATGAGTTCAACTTTATTCTAATTCATTATAAAATTCTTCTTTACTTCGTTTCACTATTTTATCAACTGTTTTTTCATTATAAATATTATTTCCTATTTCCTTTTTAAACCAGCCCATTACTTCAATTGCATGTATTACTGTATAACTAAGTTCATCTACATCATACTCACAACTTAAGAAATCAAAGTCATTATCGTTTAATGCTTCGTAGTTTAAACGTTTAATGCTAAAAGACATATTGTATAATCTTTTTACCAAGCTGTAGTACTTCACAATAAAATCATTAGTATTTCCTTCATCATCGCCCTTATATAATAAATTATAAAACTCTTCTTCAGTCAAGAACTTATTCATTTCAATAAAAACAAATATTTCTAAATCATCATCAAGAGTTTCAGCATTTCTATTATCAATATCCTCGTTATTCATATCATCAATTTTGTTTAAAATTTTACTACAATTATCACATATCATACATTGACAAATATTATTACTAACACCATCTATAAAACCCTGTTGAATTGTTAACTTTAGCATCTCACAGTCTTTACATTTGTAATTAATAAACTTTTGTTTCAATATATTTTTAACATCAATATCTTCATGGACAGTATCATTAAATTCGCTATACACACTTTCTATCTCACTATATTCACTATATTCACTTTCTGTATCATTCATTTCTATCTTAATATATTAAGTCAATATTTCTTTAAGTCGTTTTCAAAGAATTTATTTTATAATGGCCGTAAGCAAGTGAGTTTAAACTATCTATCCAATATGTTTTGTTTTCAAAACTACTAAGAGCATTTTTTTTAGTTGTTATACTAAAAATTCTGTGGTTTTTACTTCTAATACTATTAAATGACTTATGTATAACCTCATTAGTTTTTAAAACCGCCTCAAACTCTTCATATTTCATTTGACGTCTTACTGTGCCTTTTGCTATGCCCTTACATTTCTTATATTTTTTTATCATCACCATAAACTGAGTAAGCATAGCATTTAGGACGAAGGGCTATAAACCCTGTTATTATTTTACTTTTTAATTCATCCTTAAATTTACCTAATACTTTCTTGTTATTATCATCATAACATTTATGTTCCTTAGGATAATCTGAAAAATCTAATTCTTTTTTAATTGTATTCAGGTCTTCATAAATGTCATTGGTTTTAGTATGAAATACAAAACTATCAGTATCAGTATATACCATTTTAATATTATCTCCATATTTAGGCTTCATAACGTCATAATAAAATTTATACATGTGTTGCTTACTCAAATCTAAAACACTCATCCCAATAAATATAGGTTTGTCTAGTTTCAACTTTGTTTTCTGCTTTTCAACTCCAACCAAATTTTCATTAATGATATGACTATGTTTGAAGTTAGGATTACTTACACACTTCATATATCTAGTTTCATCACTCACAACCTCAAAATCTAAATGTTTCCTTTTATCCTCCATTGTTTTTCCAAATATGGCATTGTTCATCAATTTGTAAACATCTTTCTCAAAATCATTTCTAGCATTCTTCCTCTTCTCTGTGTTAAACTCAATGTAAGGTTTTAAAACTTCTTTTTGTTCAAATTTAATTGCTCTATGAATTTTCTTAAGTTTTAACCCTTGCTTCAAATAAAATTGCAAGGTTCTTATATGGATTACATATTTTTCTTTATCATTTAAATTCAATACTAATTTATTTGTTTTCTCATCCGTAGGTTTTTTTATGATTTAAACATTCATAAATTTCAATTTGTTTATCTGACAGCATGTCGGCTTTAACATTCATAACCTCAGGTGCCATTGGATAGTCATTGTGTAAATCGTGTAATTCTTTAGGATATTCTAAATCCACTTCTAGAATATATCCAATATTATTATTTTTGTAATTAATAATGTCTTCTTCTTTTAATGTATCATCCCATTTTAGATTTTTATATGGCAGTTTTTGTATCATGCTTAACCCGTACAAATTATTAGCATCAAAATAGTTAATATAACTACTTTCTTTATTTTTATCATATTCTTCTCCCATGTATTTATTATTTGCTTCAACTTTTTTAGTAGAAACCATACACATCCCGCCTCTAAGTCCCGCTTCTATCATTTCATACATTTCTTGGTCATATATTAAATCAATCTCTACACCAGTCATTTTAAGCATAGCATCAAAAGCAAAGTTAGGCAATGTATAATAATAAGCAGGGTCCAATCCATAATATTTCATACATACATCTCTAAAGTTTTCGAAAATGTCAGTCAATAATAATACATCAGTTTTCAAATATAAATCATGGTATTCACCCATATTCTTAATGTCGAAATGCTTCCATATAATTTTTGCCCTTTCATAGTCGTTAACACTTATACCTTCTTCACTCAACCGACTATAAAAATCGTCCTTACTCGGTAATTGCTCATCATCAAATTTATCACATGAATTCATGTAGTCATAAGGATAAACGCCTTTCTCAGTTAATAAATCTAGACATTTCTCACTCTTAATCACATC